TAGGCTAGAGTACCAGGAACCGAGTAAATACGACCTTGATTGACACTATATGACAATGCCATTTCAGGTTATACTGGCCTAGGATGGGGTAGTTATTGAGACATGCCAACCACTGACAATGACCTACAGGGAATGAATCTATCATAGACAAACACACGTATGAGATGAAATCATATCATTTGATCACTTTGAATCCGTGCATGTTATTGTCAGTGGTTTGCACGTATCAACAACTATCCCATCCCAAGCCAAGTTTAACCTAGGATGTCATTGTCGTATAATGGTAATCAAGGTCGTATTCTACTCGGGTCCTGGTACCCTAGCCTACTTCCCACCTTGTTGTTAATGAGGTAATCGGTTTTTGAGGTTTTGAGTGGAGGATACATGGAAACACTAGTGTAGAGGTTGATCAAAGCTAAAAGCAGGTACTTTAGGGAACTAATCCTCCCCCTAGCTTAGGGATACTATGCATGTATAGATACTTAGGGTTATTGAATGTGGTGAGTGAGATCTTTTCTGTTGGACTTTGTCGTTATCCACATGCCTCCGAGTACGCCTCCCCTAAACCCATGTTTTAGTCACTTCAATCTAGGTTATCTTATGTGGGGCATTAAGCCTATGGCTCATTTCAATGGACACTATCCACTGTCCACACTGAGGTTTTATCCTATGTTTCATCTAGGAAGGCTACCTATAGCAGGGGTTCGGTCTCCTCGACCACTATAGGCCACCATTCACTCATCTAACCTAAACTCGCCAGATGGTGCATACCCTTCTAACCCTAGAACTCCGTACCCAGTGCGGTAGCATAAAGCAGGCTAAGAGGAAAGATTGGGCCCAGTTTCCCAAGCGTCATCATTTAGGAAAGAGTGGCATTAAGAATTTAGTAGACAAACACATTCATCCATTCAAACCCTAAAATATCCATACATAGATAATAAACCCTAAAACAAGGGTTTGGGGTTTAGAACTCCTAGTACCTTAGAGGGCTACTCCATAAAGGAGGGAAGAAGATACATGAGAGAAATAGAAAGAAGACTTGAAGTTGGGGAAGATCCTCCTTCTTCTCCTTCTCTTCTTCTCCCTTAAGCTTCTCTCTCTTTTCTCTCTCTAGATCCAGAAATTTCACCCAAAATCAGCTCTCTTGAAATGGGGAAAGGGGTCTTCTATTTATAGGCATTCTGGACTCAGGGAAGTTCGCAGCCTGAGGCTGGGAGATCACGGGCGGGATCTTTTGATGATAAGCCGCGATCTTAAGACGACATCGTCATGGCCTTCTAAAGGAGGAAGATCATTGGGTGACTTCGCAGTCGCGATCCTCGAGTCGTGACCGTGATCTTCCTCGTGGTCAAGTTGAACGTTGGTCGTGACGCGACTGGGGAAACTCTCTACTTATCCAAGGCTCCTTCTTTGCGAAGTTCGCGCCTTGGGAATTCAAGATCGTGGTAGCGATCTTTGGCTTGTAGGCACGATCGTCAGCGAGTCTTCATGACTGGAAATCCCGGCCGTGATATTTGGCTTCTAGGCCACGATCTTTGATCCTTGCCCCTTTTCTACAATTGTGACCTTGTTTTGTACCTAATTTGCATATATTGACTAATACACCCTATAATCACATCAAAATAAAATAGGAACGAAATAGGGATGTATTTGACAAAGTTTAAACGCGTAAGCACATGAATTGACACAAAATATATCTTAAAATGGAGGGCAAAAAACATCGATTTTGGTGTTATCAAACTCCCCCACATTTAGGCGTTTGCTTGTCCCCAAACAAACTTACTCAAACCTAATGCAATATGATAGATGAATCAATGAGGCATGCATGCTAGTTCTTCATTGCATAGATAAGAGTATACGGGGATGAATGAACGCTACTACCTTCCTACTGCACAATCACAAACTCTCGTGTGAGGACCGTATCTACTACCTTAGGCCGATCATTGAAAATGTGCTCTGGGATTCTCCGACAACAAACGACTAATATAACTATAAGCGGTGATTTTATTCTTTCTTTTGGTGTAGGATTTGTTATTTTTCGGTCTCATTTTTCTCCTTCATGACCAAGAGTGGATGAATCATAGCCTTCCCTTTCAAGGTCAATGTGGGGATATTGATAGTTGGATTCGTCTTAGCCCGAGCACTACATCCCAGCCTGCATTCCACATTGGGTTGCCACGCATGTTGGCTACAAACGAGAGCTATGAGGTCTCATGAATCACTAAAAGGTACCTTTGGTCCTTATCATACGAATCCGTGAGGAGGAGAGGTGTTTGGGGATGGTAGGTAGTACGAGATGATCGGGACGCAATAAAGCTACCTAAACCCCAAACACATCCTCGAAGGGCACTTCGAGCCAAGAGATCAAACCTTTGACGGTTGATCTCAATTCTTTGCCCGGTTGCCATTCACGTGAGAACCTCTTTTCTATTTTTAAGAACAAGTTGAAAAAGTTCCTAGTTCACATAATAAAAAAGAGAATCCGGCACACAATGCCTTCCCAAGATAGCAAACACTATCGACTCACACTAGAGGAGGAAAGTAGTAAAATCCCTCAGGTACCAATACTCAAACCTTGCAACTATCACCTGAGATGCACAACACATCAATCAATCTAGTCAAATCAAAGCACATTGAGTAGGCAATTGCAAGGACAAGGTGTTTTGAAGCCCTCAAATTTGAAATTTTTTGGGTGTGCATTCAAGTTTCTAAAAACACTAATACTTCACCATTCATCACCACAACAAAGGCATGATCATTAGCATACACTCCCATTAGCATTCATCAACGTCTTACATTCACGAACAAGGGAGGATATTAGCAAAACAAGAAAGAAAGATGAATAGGAGTTCAAGGTCGATATATAGATAAATAAAGTAAGTGCTAATAGGTGTATGAGAGGAAAACAACGTCTTCACACATATAAAATTAACAAAACCATAATCTGTTAGTAAAATACGATTGCTAACTTATTTACGATAGCGACATGCTTCTTTAAATTCATAAGCTAGACGGATGTTCTGTGGATGTCAGGGTTCTGATAGGAGGAGGATTTCCTTGTCTTGATTGAACACTCCACTTAGATAGAGTTTGAGTCTATGGACATTCACCTTGTATTCTCCTCTTTTGGCATTGGGTATTTGAAAAACTCTGTACGGAAAAACTTTGGTGACTACAAAAGGTCCGTACCACCTAGATTTGAGCTTCCTTGGAAATAGACGAAGCCTGGAATTGTAAAGGAGTACTTTTTTGTCTTCCATAAACTCTTTGTGCTGACGAAGTCGAGAATCATGGAATCGCTTCGTTCTTTCCTTGTAAATTCGAGTATTCTCATAAGCTTGAAGCCTCCATTCTTATTGTTCCATCAGTTGCAGCCTCCTCTCATTTCCCACAAGTGTTTCATCACAGTTGAGGGATTTAATTTCCCAATATGCCTTATGATCCATCTCAACCGGAAGGTACCAAGCTTTCTTATTCCCACAAGTGTTTCATCACAGTGGAACAGTGGGGACTGTCGTGGCCTACTTTCTTGTTCTCCTTTGGATACTAGCATTTTTCCCATTAGAGCACTTACCTCGTTAGTACAAAAGTTGGTTTTGTACTATTTTTCACGTCCTAAAATCCTTGATTCTCGTCATAAGGTTGAAATTTCACTTATTGGATCTTGCATGCTCGGGTTTGGGTTGTGTTGTGTGAAATGTGTGCAGGAGGTGTATAACCCAAAGTAACCCACCACCTTTAGCACCGTTAGACGCAACATCAATCGTACTCTCTAACACCTATCTTGAGAGAGGGAGTTAAGGAAAGCAAGAAAATGGCTCATAGTTTGCGTACAACCTCACGTTGAACCCAAATTTGAAGTTGAGGAAGAAGTTGGATTTGAGGAGGAAGTTTTGTTTGAAGAAGATGTTGAAGTTGAAGACCTTGTGATGGCGAACGAGGCTGCACAAGGAGGTGATGGAGCGAGGACGATGGGCTATTATATGACTCCACAGGTAGCGTACATCCAGTTGAACATTCTACATCTGTCCGTGGCAGCCAATAACTCCGAAATCAAGACAGGCCTCATAACCATAAGTAAGAGTTGTAACACTCCAAACTTTGAGTTTAGGTTCGACCTTAATACGTGATCAGTTGAATTGACGATTACGTACGACGAGTTACGACCTTAGTTCTCGCACGCGGGTCCAGTCAACCAGGATCCCCAATCATTCAAAAGTGTGACGAGAAGGAATCGGGATTTAATTGAAAGCAAATCGATGAGATTAACGTCTCAGGTCATCCAATCTAATCCTAGGCACGTTCTAGAGGTAAGGGAACTCGATCCCTTTGAGTTAGATCGATTAATTTGTGGATTTTTCGTGAGGGTGCAATTCTGAGTTTTTAGCAACAGAGTTTACAGGCTTTTAGTGACAGATTTTAGGAGGTCACTAAAGCTGCTGGGAATTTCCAGAAACGTATTTTAGATGTTTTCAATTGTTTTGAGCCTCTGTGGGTGTTTTTTCTTAGGTTTCAAATTTTTATAACTTGAGTGAGGTCTAGGATATGGCTGAAAGCTAATTTGGGGATTTTTGAAAATGTATTTCTATTTTTTAGAAATTGGTAGAATGTTTAATTAAATAAAAATCTTTCTGAGAGGTTTTTAAGGGTTCGATAATTTTCCAGGATATAGGTGCTCATGAGTGACATGGAAAAATTATAATCCGGAATTTTTAGAAGGTTCAAGTTAGGTGAAAAATTCATCCAAGATAAAAATAATTAAGAAAAATGGTCGGTTTTGAAGGGATTATTTCTAGAAAATTTTTAAAGGGGGTTAAGGGACCTTTGGGACCAGGCTCGAGGTCTGGATTTAGAGGAGAGGATGTTCTAGTGATTCAAAAGGGGTTTTAAATCGAGAAAGGTCGTCTAAGAAAATGGATTCTTATTAATAGGTTTACCCAAGATAATCCGGCTAAGGAGAGGTTTCTTCGAGGAAGGAATTGAGGAGTCGTCTTTTCTAGGTGAGTGTAAAGGGGGTAAAATCTCTGTCGTATGTCTTTTATTTTATGCTTTTCGTTCAAGTTATTAATTAGTTAATTTTTTAGTAATGCGCGATATGTGTGTGAGGCATCCGACCGCTTGTAAGGGTGGAGGCACACGTTGTGCTATGTATGAATGTATGGATGTATGATTCTAATAGTTGATTAATGGTAAAATGAACCCCCGGGCGGTTGGGCCACTACTGGACGCAGTAGATGGTCGGATCACTGCTAGACAGCGAGACGTAACGCAACATTTGATCGTGTATGTTGGGGTCACTACTGGAAGGCGAGACGTAACGTAGTAGTTGACCGGGCATGGTCTGGACGGCGAGACGTAACGTAGTATCATTGCCGAGTTTGGGTATGCAACCGAACGACGCGATGTAACGCGGTTGGCATACTAGGGTAGGGACACCGGACAGCGAGACGTAACGCGGTGGTCCCTAGTTTTGGTGTCTATGGATTAAGAATATAAGTCAGGAAATTCTAAAGATAAGATAGGAGCAGAGATCTCTTATAGACTGTTTGATAACTAAGTATAAAGGATGAAAACGAAAATGGCTTTTGTCTAAGTCAAGAACCCAAATAATGTGTTTGGTAAGGATTTGCTTAGGGCAAAGACCTTAGGAAGTAACGACGAGATAGACCCCTTCTCACTCACTAGGTCGAGGAAGGGTTAACGGGCGTGATTTTCGAGAAGAGGCAGAATGAGGAGCAGTCGTACCAACATGGACAAGGTCTCAAGGAGCTCAGTGAGGAGTTAGAACTAGAGTTTGTTAGTTAGTTATGTTTATGATTATGAGTATTACTGGAGGTTCAAAGGTTAATCTTTACTGACCATGTTTTTTTAAGTCGCCCACGTGTTTAGGGCATCGCATTTGATGTTGTTCTTGGAAATGATTGAGTTGTATTTTAATTTTGAGTTTTGTTTTTAACCGGCTCTGGAGACATAAGTATTTCGGTTGAGTAAAAGTATCGGGGCGTTACAAGAGTAACATTCAATATCATGGTATTGAAGACAAGTCCCCAAGGGAGCACATCAATAAGTTCTTCAAGTTGAAAGATGACTTGAAGATATATGAAGTGCATTGAGATGGTATTAGATTGAGACTCTATCCCTACTCCCTAAGTGGCAAGGCACGAAGTTGGCTGAACAATAAGCCTCCGCTCTCAATCACATCTTGGGATCACTTGTTGACCAAGTTCATGAATCGGTATTGCCCACCTTCCAAGACAGTAGAGTGTCAGAAGAAGATCACCCACTTTGCTCAAAAGAATGATGAGATTTTAAGGGATGTGTGTGAGCGGTATTCTTATCTCTTTCTCCAATGTCCACGCCATGGTTATGGTGAGAAATTCCAGATTGAGACATTCTACAGTGGTCTCTTCCAAGAAGACCGGACACTCATTGACTCTTTGTGCCAAGGGGATATGCTCAACAAGACTCCACCCCAAATGACGGCATTGTTTGAAGAAATGGCCGCAAGGGTTATGATTGGGGAATGACAAGGTGCGGAAGGAAGATTCGGGAGAGTGGAGTGCACTCCAACGAGGCAAATCCTCCACTTGCGGCAAAGATTGATGAGTTAATCAAGGTGATATTGCATGATAGGAAACAAGGGAAAAGCTCGGCTATGGTTTGTGATTGGTGTTCGAGTCCTAACCATGAATTGGGAGAATGTCAAATCATGATGGAGCCAAGCACTCCGGAAGTGTATAAAATTGGACAAAATTGCACTTTAAAGCGTAAACGCTTACGCTTTTACGCTTCTAGTTCAGCAAAATGTTTTATGCTTTTGCTCTGCTTGTATGCACTCTTGCGTAACAAGATAAATAAGTTCACTTAGGAGTAATATTTTGTGAGTTTTAATTTTTTATGATTTTCGAGTTAGAATTATATTTTTTAAATAGTCTGGTTTTCATTAAGTTGTATGATTGTGACTTGTGAGTACTGTTTGCTTGAAGCGAGGTGACTCGCTCTAACTATCATAATAAAATCCCACCTAAGGTCCAAGTATAAACCTTAGATAGGTGCAATATAGGGCAAGTATGTTTAAATATCGACCCGGGCCATTCCATGTACCGCTACTTTGACTGTTTGAAACATTATCTAGTGGATCAGTTTTGGTGAAAACAAAGGTTGAAAACTAATTTACTTTACAAAGGTAAAATGGATTTGACTCTAGTTGAGAAAGCTTCACCCGGGTGTTGCTCCACCTAGCTAACAATTATGACTTGAAGAATCGAATGTTCATGTGTGGTTAGGGGGTCATAAACAGCAGGGAAGTCTAACAAGAAACCAAAGTTACCCTCTTAGACTCTAGGTTGAAGAATGGGATACGATCCAATCCACTGATGTGACCCTCTCAACCTATCGACTAAGGAATGGTAAGACTTCACCCTCGAATTGGAGTTCGGACGGCCACCCACAACCAAACCCTAAGTCTTTAATACGAATTAGGAGGTTTGCCCTTTAATTAACCTAGACTAGGAGGCATAGAATGCGCAAGGAAACCCATCTTTAGTAGAGCCCCTTAGGTTAAGGAGGCATTGAATGCCCAAGGAAACCTTTCTCGAAATGAGCCTCTTAGGTTAAGGTGGGTTCTCTCTAAACTAGTTTAGGAGGCTTTGAATGCCCAAGAAACCAAACCTCTTGGGTGAAGGAGGTTTCCTCTCTAAACTAGCCTAGGCATGAAATACCCAAGAACCCCATCTCAATAATGAGCCTTTTAATCTAAAGAGGTTTCCTCTCTAAACTAGCCTAGGATCCCCGTGACAGTGAAGCGCAAGCGTCCAGGAACCAACCGCAGTCCACAGTCAGAGCTGCGAGTTCACGGTTGCCTGGATCGTGAACAGCGAGGCATCCAGGGGGGTTCTAGAGATTACTAACGACAAGGCAGTTCACGGTCGCTAAGACTGTGAACTTTGAGCACAAACCGTGAACCCCGGGAAGTGAAGCGGGGTGTTTAAGAGACGACACTAAGTTCACAGGCGCGTTTAGGTGTTCACGGTCGTGAAGTGGAAGGCCGTGAACTCAACTCGATCTCACTATAAAGGGAGAGCTGAAAGGAAGAAGAAAAGAGAGCTTCATTTTTAGGTTAGGTTTTCATTTTTCAGAATAAAGAGGATTCTAGTGAGATGTTAGGGTTTCTTCTAGAGTGAGAAATTGCACATCAAAGGAAGAGCTTTGGGCTTGTTCCTAGCTAGAGGATTGAAGATTTCTTCATCTCAAGGGTGTCTCAAGCAACAAGGAGGAAAGATTGGCATCACTTCATGGTTATTTCTTCCCCTTTTGTTGTTTTCTCTTGTCTAGCTATGGAATAGCCTACCTACTCACTTGGGGTATTGTGATTCCTACTCTCTCTATGTGTTAGGATGTAAGAGCATGAACCTATTGTGTTGATTGAGTGTTTTATATGATATTTGAGGTATTATTCATGGATGATTGAGTGTGCTAGCTTTAACTCAATATTGGGTAAAATTGACATAGAGGGTGGAAATCCCCTTTTGGTCCAATAGGAAGCTAGACTTCTTAGCCACTTGGGTAACATTCTTTAGGTTGATTTAAGAACAAAATCTCAAGTATCGGAGTAGGTTCGTGATACCACCGGGATTGGTCTCTCCGCCGACCGGATTTAGTTCTGAGGGTTTGGTTTGCAATCCCTAGTCGGCTAGTCAAGAGGGTTTGGTTTCCTAGCCTATCGTTGTCACCCTTACCCGAAAGGTTAAGTGAGTTAGCTTTATAACTTGTTGCAATGATTCTCAATTAGCTAACTAAGAGAGTTAGGGATCTCCTTGGTTGATCGGTGAAGAGGGCTAGGTTCCCTACCTATGAATCACAATCCTTAACCTAACGGTTAAGAGAGCTAGTTCTCCTAGCTTATATTTGTTGATTTTCCTTCATTGATCGACTAAGGGAGTTTGTCCTTAGCTAGCTGCACCCACCTCGCGGTGTATGAACACGTCCTTCACACTAGAGCTTTGTTTGTCACTTCTTAGCATGAGACTAGGGGGAGCAATACCGGGTGAAGTCCTCTCGATTAGAATTCTCCTCCATTTACTTTCCTTGCTTGTTTAGTTTGTAGTTTTCATAGTTTTAAACCCAAAACTATTTTGCTAGATAACAACTTAAGCGATTGAAGTAGGGTACATGGACCGGCCCGGGTTTGACAATTAAATACTTGCCCTATACTGCACCCGGCTAGAGTTTAAAAACTTGGGCTCTAGCCGGGATATAATTCGCAGTATAGTTTTGAGCGAGTCAAGTTTTTGGCGCCGTTGCCGGGGAACCGCGGTCCATTATTTTGAAAAGGTCGCTTAGTGTTACTCTAGCATTTTCTTTCTTGCCTTTATGTTTGTGTTTTGTGTTTCATGTGCGTTTTGTTTACCACTCTTCGTCTAGAAGTGTGGTTTGGGTGTGTTTGGTTTTCCTTTTTAGTGTTTTTGTGTTTGTAGGTATCGGATCATGGATCCTTATGATTTCACCCAAGTGTGGGGGTATTGATGACTTGATATATACACATGTTTTTGTCCACCATTCTTATACCATTTGAGTCTCATTTCTCGTGTTTTACGCCGATTTCACGCTAGGTTGTTCTTGTTTGTGATATTTCAGGTCCTAGTACGTGAATGGAGGTTTGGGAACGAGTTCGGGGTTGATTGGATGAAGATTGGACATTTGGCAGGAAGCTGGGAAACCACACGGCCAGACCTAAAAACCACACGGCCGTATTATGTGGCCGTGTGGAATCCTTTTGCGCGGGCAATTCACACTAGCCCTGTTATGGACCACTTGTGGCCGTGTGGAAATCACCGAGACCTTCACACGGGCAGGCCGAGATTGCACACGACCGTGCAGTTCTGGTCGTGTAGCGTGTATGAAGCCACTTAATTGAAACGCCGCGTTTTGCATTTTTCACAACGGTAGGTGGAAACTCTACACGACCGTGTGGCCTGGCCGTGTAGTCGGGAAATTCTGGGTTTTAACCCAATTT